TTGAAGAAAGTATTTGGAAATACTTGGGATATTTTGGTTATTGGTTCCAGTTTACATTTTTGATTATACTGGCGTTGATCGTTTTTGAATTTGATGGTATTATTGGTAGTATCGTATCCAACAGCATTCAAAGTTCCGATTGAAATATGTTCAGAGTTTCCATGAGCAAATTGGTATCGGGGAAGTGACATAGATTTGTAAAAACTTTGTTAGGATATTGAACTACCAAGATTCTTAAATAGTAAACTTTTTTTTTCAAATTGGTAATTGATTTGGTGCCGTAAATCGTTGTTTTGTTTCTCTTCTAATAAACTTTTGTATATCGTTGGTGCATGAAGTATATGTTAATGGCTGGTCAATTCAATTATTAACGACGCGAAATTAGTAAAGTCCACGTTTAAAACTTTATTGGCTACACAATCGACAATAAAAATCCCATCACAGACAGTAAATGAAGCTGTATGTCACTAGCACCATTCTTTTTAACATTAATCACAGGAGTTGGACTTGGAACCTCAATTGGAATAGCCTCTACTTCTGATGTAGTTGGAGTATTATGAAAATCAATAGTGATCAATCCGCTTTTGATAGTATACCCAGTTGAAATCATTGTCAGATAAAATTGGTTTGAGGTTTTTAATGTTGGATTGAGTACCAACAAATCACGAGCATCAATCCAATAACAAGAGCATGTCTGTGTCAATGTATTGAATCCACTTTGCAACAACATCGGTTGTGATAACAAGGCGTCATTGTTGAGGTACACGGCAGCTAACGACACTGTTTTCGGGTCCAAATTCGACTTTGTATAGAGTAACTGTGCACCATAATCTTGTCCTGGAGCTGGATGTGTGGAAATAGTGGTAGTTGTATTTCCAAGTGACTACCAAGTTAATTCAATGGTTTATACAGTGATTGCAAAATTGCCACTTGATTTAAAAGTGATTGGATCAATCGATTGAACCAATGCTGTCAATATCGAGATTACTAGTGCAATATTCATTTTGGAAATGAAATAGTTTGTTGATTTTTATAGTGTTTATTCTGTTGACAATGAACAACATCAACATTTAAACTCCAAATTACTGATGTCTACTCAGATCCAATATGGTCTCGTTTGTAATTCTTATTTAGGACCTATTGCTGATTCAATGTATCACTGTCTGTTTATTATTAAGGTAAATGAGTTTATACGCGAATGGTTAATAAAAATCAAATTACAACGGTAGTCAAACTAACCCGAATGAAACTACTGCATTTGAGTACTTATTGGTTGGAATACGATGTCAATTATTGTATCTTGATAATACTTCAATACCGTGTACCCTTTCACAAACGGAGATATTTTTGTGGGTTATTCTGCATTGACTAGTTCGAAGTCGGCAGATAATGAAAATATACAAAAAGGTATAGCAAATGTGTGCAAAGTATATTATTGAATCAATATCCAGTCTATAGGTATCTAGGGTGATTCAGTAAAAACTAGTTTTTAGTCAAGATGGTCTCGTGGGTCGATTTGGTCTCATTCTTGTCTTGCTCTTTGTCTTGTTTTTGTACAGTCTCCGCATCCATTTGGATTTCCTTGTCATCGCTACCAATTAAGATTGTGTTGTTGGATTGTATAGTGGCATTGGTAGGTACGGGGGGTTCGGTAGAAGTTATATCCATATCAGATATTTTCTTTAATAAGCTAAATTCTTGCATGCCTACAGGATCATGGTGCATTGGGGTGGGTGGTGGTGTTTTAGGGATATCCCATGTAACACTTTCTGGTAATTGATTGACAATACCATTGGCGAATTCGAGGGTGGTTCGTAATGTAGGGTTGTCATGTACGAATTCACCTACTTCTCCAATGGCGACAAAGTAGGAGAGTCCATCAGCAGGGGATAGTGTGACCAGAATGTTTGGATCGGCGTGTCTGATTCGAGAGATAAGTAATTTTTGAAGTGGTTTTGGTATTGCTTCCCATTCACATTCCCTATGAAAAGATTAGATTGAACTTTGATAATAGATTTTTGCTATGTGATATCGCGTTTTAGTAGTGTATGAAGGTTAAAAGGCAAAAGTACAGATGATACTTTCAATCACTACAATTGTTAAAGAAATAAAGACAAGAGAATAGTTTATGATCAGTGACAAAACTTACCCATCAGCGAAACGCACAAACCAACCACCAAAGCCAGAAATACTAATCTGCTCGATAGCGGGATCCAACTGAGTTCGTCGTTTCAACAACTCATCGAGGGAAGTAGGTAAACGTTCCCAAGCCATGGATCCATTTTCTCTAATCAGTAACCAACCACCAGCCGGAGCAAAGACGAAATTGACTGGATCTGATTCATCTGCGAGAGATTCTTTCAATCTGCCATACATTGGGAAGCCAGAGGTGGCAAATGATCCGTCATCGAAAACAATGAGCCAATCATTATTGCTGGAGATGGATAATGATTTGACGGTCGGTAAAAACTTGTGCCTTTTAAATAGCTTATTGTGTAAGGAAGGGGGGATTTGATCCCAAGCTAAAGAGCCATCCGACCAACGAACAAACCATGAGCCTCTGGATCCAAACGCCATATTTGTGACATGCCTATCAACATCAGAATCGATATCAGAATGAGGGTCAACTTGATGGTCATCATGTTTATCGTGAGACAATTCGATGTGATTGAGAGGCACCTTTTTCATATCGGGAGTTGTTGAGTCTGGGGAGAGTAAACCGCCAGATTTAGGTGTGAGTATATCGTCAGCGTTTGGGGAGCGCAAGTCCGGGGTGAGTATATCATCAGCATTAGGAGAGGACAAGTGTGGGGTTCGTATTTCATCAATATTTTGAGAGAGTGAATCAGTATTAGAGGAAAGTGTATTATCATGGTTTGAAGAAGGTAAATCCGAGGAAGATAAAACCGAGGAACGTAAAGCAGCTAAATCCGAAGGAGAGAGTAAATCAGAAGAGTTTGGAGCATGAGAGGAGTGAGAGATATTGAGAGTTGGGTTAGTATTTGTTGTATAGTTCATGTTTACGATAGCTGAGTCAGTTTTCAATCTTTTATCCAAGTCATCGTGAATGAGTTCATAGGACAGCTCTGAATCCGAGTCCATAACAAATAAACAAACATTCGAAATGCTTTCAGTTTCAAGTCTTTTGTTTCAAGTTGCGGATTTATAATTTACCACACAATCACACACTTTCAACCAGCAATGTTACCCAAACTACCATTAGGTCGAATCCTTATCAAACACTTTGCTACTAAATCATTCCAAAAACCTAATACCAATCCTAAACATAGCTCTTTCAAAAACTCTATTAATCAATCCAATTTAAATATTAACAACACTAATGCTTTGGACAATCAATCTCTAGTACTATCGGAAAAGTATTATCTATTTCTAACAAAAGAGTCTTTGAAGTCAATGAATCATTTCATGCTAAACCTCTCGCTGATGTCGTCTCACATGCTTTCGGTTTATCCACTAGAGATGCAAGATTAAAGGTTCGGCTTGACTAACTTTTTAAACTTAGTACATATACTCAATCCCTTAAACTCGTAGAATTCTTGGTGGTGATGTATGGTCCACTGGTTCGTTACATTCTAAATATTTGGATTTGAAACCTGGTGCTCTGGTTACTTGTGGTGATAAAATTCATATTCGATTACAATCTAAACCTGTTGATGAACTCAAGAATGAAAAGATGTTTAATGCCATGTTGACCCAGTTAAAAGGTAACGTAAGCATACCAAATAATGTTGTCACTCTTCTGGACAACACTAAGTTTATGATTTATACATCTTCACATGTCTGTGCTGATGCAATTATAGGTTCAATCATTTATAAAGACGAAAGAATCCTGATCATCAACAAACCTATCAATTTATCAGTTCACGGAGGTTCAAAGCACAACAACTTACATTTGGAAATGTTTCTCGACCACTTGAAAACAAAAGAGGACGAAGAATTACGAATTGTACATCGTTTAGATAAAGTAATACCTATCTACTTATAGTAAGGACACTACTGGTTGCTTGATCTTGGCGCGAACAAAAGAAGCCGCTGCCCAAGTCTCCAGTTTATTCAATCATTCCACTGATATTACCAAACGAGTACCACCACGTATATTAACCCTATTCAGTATATCGCCGTTTGTGTGCCTCCCTTTGAAGATCTACAAACCGGCCAATCAGCCATCATCACCACAGGTATCTCAAAAGTCACACGTGGAAATACCGAACGAATGGAAGCCGTACCATGGGGTACATTCAAAACACTAACTATCTAGATGATACGTTTGAGAAAAGTGAGATATCGGATATCAAGAAAGCAGTCACCAAAGTCACTGTACTCAAAAACCGGAAATTGGTTTAATTGTATGAAACTCATCTTAGACATCCGTTGTATGTCTAGAACCACAGACCGGACGCAAACATCAACTAAGGGTTCATATCGGCCAATTACGATCATTTATCCTCGGTGATTACAAATATGGAGTAGGCGTATCCAAAAAATATAGAGTATCACCGCAAAAAAACTAAATAGTAGCATCAAATATCAGACCCCACCAAAGTCCCACTTCATTTACATCTTTACTCCATCCATATCCGCGACTGGTTTAAGCCAGGAGCTCATTTGACTGTGCACCATAAACCGCCAAAATTTTGGATCAAAACTTTGAATAGCTCAGGACATGGTACAAGCCTGTTTGTTCATTGTCGGGTATGATTTAGGAATGTGTTGATTCTAGGGTATTGAACCAATTGTTGTTAGCTAAGCGTTATTTAATAAAGTATTCGTATCATATTTTACTAAACATTAACGTACCGTTTATATGACCTATTGGTCGAATATCGCTATTAGCCAATGGTTATTAAAGGTCTAGATATGTAGGTTTATTCAAGTATTAGACTTTAAATTTTTTCTGCAAGCCAAGATGGTCGTTGGTGTTCAGACACCTATAACTCAATCATCTCTGGCAGTTCGGTTACTACTAATCGGATTAAAAAGCCCGTATAGCTCAGTGGTAGAGCGTCACTCTTGTAAAGTGAAGGTCTAGTGTTCAATCCACTATGGGGGCATATTTTTTTTCTTCAAATTGATTCTTTCCAACATTCAACTTTCCAAGAATTTTTTTTTTTTTTAATTGTTAAATGGGTAAAGCAAATAGAAACAAAAAATCAAAGACAAACAAAAAGAAAGTCGAACAAGTAGATAATCAATCGAATGAGAATCAAGTACAAGATCCATCATTCATATCGCCCATTGTAAAAAAGCTTATTCATGAAGATGAATCTGAAAGAGCTTATGCAGCTACAGCAATCTCACATCTGGTTCAGGAAGTTGACAACCAAAAATTGCTTATGAGTGCAAATGTCATTCCACAACTCTTATCCAATATCCAATTAATGTCCAAAATGACATTACTAGAATGTTTAGGATCGTAATTTTTCCCTTTTAACAAACTGTTAGGTTATCCAACGTTCTGCTATTTATCGGCCACGATGCATCCATCAACTGTATCGAAAACAATGGGTTACACATCATACTGAACATATTCCCAAATGTACTCGTTTTTCATTTTAACCACTAGATTATCAATGAAATCAAGCTGGTAATGGAAGGTACGCAAGAAACCGATGATGATAAGGTATTGGATCCTTATGCGGTAGCTGAACAAGCATTATCATGTTTATGGAACATGTCGGAAGCCTCAGATGAAGCCGTACAAACGTTAACATCATTAGATATGCTTAATTTTGTCATGTCCTTGTTATCATCACCATCAACTCCTTGGTCTCTGCTGCGTGTTGCAGGTATCTACCAAAAATAACTAATCAAAATAGCACAATTCTTAAATACATTATCTGATGATAATCTACCACTATCACACCTCATTGCGGACAACCTACAATACTTTAACACTTTACTCAATATCGTCAAAAATGATGAATTTGGTTGGGTGGATTGTAAAATTGATTTAAGAGTTTTATGTGCTTCCATTTTACATAATTTCAAATCAGCTTTGGTTTTTGATGACCAATTGCCACTTTATACTGCTATCGTACATGTTATTTCACAATGTTTGGAGTATGATTTGGTAGCAGGTGTGCCAGTGGTAGAACAAGCTGGATTGGAAGTTGATAAAGTATTTTTTTCTAATTACTTATATTGGTAGGTTAAATCATCAGTATCGATGACAGAAACGGTTCAGCAAATGGGAGATTTAGATTTATTCAACCCAGATAATAAAAATACAGTATTTTGTTGTTAAACAACTGACCGTAGGCGCTGATTGCATCCAAAGAAGCCGAACTTGCAACTATACAATTATCATTGGAAATTTTAGCTAATATCTATTCTGAAGACATTGCTGACGGTAAGACCTGACATCTAATTTTAGAAATCCAGAAGGAGAATTTAGCAAATGAAAAGGATGCGGTCGAAGATGAAGAAGATGCCATGGAAGCGGATGCCGAAGAGGATGACGAAGATGAAATGTTTGAGATGATGGATGAAGAGCACGAAGAAGCTGAAAACCTTCGAATAACTCAACTTAGCGCATTACTATTCCAAAAACCATCACCTATTATCAATCGTATTCTTTATTTTGCAACACTCCCATCGCTAACACTCACTTCGCCAGCTTGTCAATCTTATGTGAAACATTTTGATCAAGTACGTGTGAGAGCATTGGCAGCATTATCAAACTTGTTTTTAATCAATGTTACCAAAAGTTGGAGTGAAACCCACCCGAAAGAAATATCAAATCTTTGGGCGACGTTATGGCAATCTGCAACTACTATTGCCAGTCAAACACCGTTGCCATTAGATTTATTTGAGACTTACATTATGGCACTTTGGGCTTTAGCCCGATCCGTACACAAAACCGCCAACGCCATAGTAACGACAATATATTGATTATAGGTTGTGACTGATGATCAAGTACAGTGGATGATGCAAGGGTGTATGCAATCACCTGAAAGCATCAAAACCAAAATCATTGCCATGCTAAGTTTATTTTCACAAAGTGAGAGTAATATCCCATTAAATAAGGTAATATAACCGTATTAGTAATAGAAGATGATTGGAGAATGGATAATGACATTATTACAACAATCTGCTTCAGTTGCTGGTCCGTCACAAGTCGAAACCATTTCAGAACTGTTGAATTCTATTTTTGATATCTATTCTGATGGTCGATTTACTTACGATCAACCCGTATTTATTCAGTTACAGTTCAATAGCATCCTTCGAGACTGTTATCCACGTATAGCTCTCAAAGTCAAGTCTGTGGATAAACGCAAGTTTAAAGAAGTACGTGCCAGGGCTGATGAAGCGGTATTGAATTTACGGGAGTTTATCAAGTATAAAGCTAGTGAAGTGGTTTAGTAGTTTAACATCAATAAAAGAAACTACACAATATTCTGATTATTTTAAAACTATCGATCCCGTTAAGTACAATTAAGGAATCCTTTATATTCAAAATTGTATTGATCGATAGTGAATGTAATGCACAAAATCATGCAAAATCAATCGTGTGACCACGTCATCGGTCCAAATAAGCGCAAACAACAAAACTGAGGCTCCAAACTCAACCCAACAACCTCAAGATGGAATTACCACCAAAACGGTATCCAACTCAGACTAACCCAAAAGCCAAAAACGATTTCTAAACATTCCAGAATTCATCAACATCACTGAATTTAACCGTACTTTACAAGACCAAACGCTCAAAAATGGTCAAGACTATATGATAATAAGTATCATCAAAGATCATACCCAACCCATACCCATCACATCACCTATTACTCATACTGTCTTCAATACCAATCTCGAATGGTTTCGTCATGCTTACAAACACATCCCCAAACTATATTTCATTTATGGGGTTACTACAGTACAGAGTTGTAGATTCGTTCAACGTTATTGCCAATTGATTAATCATTCGGATGATCATCTCAAAGATCAAGATATATTCATTGTGCGACAACAGTCATAATTGACATTTCTTGGTTTTGTTAATACAGTGTTTTTGTGTATGATATCTTGTTGGAGTTACATTTGAAGACAATGAATCAAGTTTGATTTTGTAATAGAGGAACTTTGGTTGTATATGCTCAGATACGTGTCATATTCCTTTGTCAATCAAATACTTTATCTGATGAGCGTATTAGGTGAATTTTGGAAACCTGATGCAAATACTTCGCATTAAGAACTTGGACACATAAATCCGCCTATAAAGTACATACTGAAAAGGCTTTAGAGGATAGATAATGGAGTCCTTATAAATTTAGGGTTAAATCAAAACATTCTTTAGTGAAATCCCTGGCATTAGAAGAATAGATGTACAAGATATATAAACAATAGAAGCTCGGTATATACGTTGACTGGTTGGTACCTGCCAAAAATGATGCACAATGATCAGTTCGCTAGAGCAGTTTATTTTAATGCTTTCTGTTCGTATTCATGGACAATCTTCCGAATATCTGATATATGAGATGTACCTGTTCGACAACATCCACCAATAACATCGGCTCCTAACTATTAATTAAACCAGTTTACCAGCGTCAATCCATTGATGAATCCATTCAGACCATTGTTTGTTTAACGTCGTAGAATCTCCTTTCCAAATCTTGTTAATTGGATCCCACACTTCACCACTGTTTGGATAACAGATAATACGTATGTCCGACCTAACTTGAATGCTTCCGTAAGTTACCTTTCTTGTCTATCTAGGAAAGATTTGATGGTTTTGGTAATGCTGGAGACTAAATTCGGATCAATACAATTCATTCCAATTGCTTCTAATTTTGGAATTTGCATAAGCGCATGAAGTGTATCTTCAATGGATTCACTTTTTGTTAATCTTCAATAAATACTTACCCTACTCATCAGAATACACTATTTTACCTTTTCCATTTAATCTCTCTGATTGAAATGATACTGATACCCAGATCGGGATGTTTGATGAAGCTTTTTGGATTGTGTTTTTGATGCATGTTATTTCTTGAATACTTGGAATTGTCTCAAATACTATAACATCTGGTGGTGTAATTGTTTCCGACAGGATCTGTAGTCTGATGCAAATTCTATATCGAATAAATAACTTACTTTTGTAAATGCGCGTTTTCAATCATTTCATTGGTTGTTTGAACACCAAATTGTCCATTATACTCGGATCCTAGATTGTAAATTGAATATTTTTTTGAATAGAGTTATGAGAGTTGATGGTTTGTAGAAAATCATTTACCATTTGCTAGTAATGCACCATAAGAACCGAGTGAAGCAGCAACCAACACTTTTCTCCCACTCTTTTGTGTGAATTCCAACTTTGCTTCGTTTGCCAACTGGACTGATTTCTTTATTAATGTTTCTGATTCCATTCCACTTAATCCCAACTTCATGAATCCATCAATGGATGCTTGGTAACTACAAGTGATCGCTATATCTGCTCCAGCTTCATAATACAAAAGATGCAACTTCCTTATCACATCAGGATCCTTTAGTAAAATACTAATCATGAAGATAAACTTTTATACCTGGCACTCCATAGATCTCCAGTCAAGTTTTTCTGAAAGTATGTTTCCAATCCTGTTGCGAATCCACCATCCAAAACCAATATTTGTTTTTTCATTTTAAAAGGAATTTCTTCAAGATTGTAACAAAACATTAACGGTTTCGAATGTAAATTCAAATGTTACTGATTAGATAATCCTTAAAATCACAATTCTTGGTCAAAGGTATAGTCAGGTATTTATATCACATTTTTTATTTACAGTAAAACAAGAAGAAATGATTGAGATTGGATGGACTATTCATCAAATGAAAATTCATGGAATTGCTTAGAGTATAGATGATTGTTAAATTTGGGATCATCTCGAGCAGTCAACTTGATATTGACTACATCAGTATCATGGATCACGGAATCCAGACAAAATGAAGAGAATCTCTTGTCATTGTAGAAGTATTCAGGAGCGAGTGCTTGTTTGTCAATAATAGTTTGAAGAGCCCTGAATTGGATTTTTTTAGGAGCCATTAAGAAAGTTCTTTTGATTGCAGACATGATTTGAAATGGATT